TACCTACATATATATATATGTATATATACTACACACACATACATATATATAAACTATATAGATATAACATTTCAATTAAAGTGTTGCAAAACAAAAACACAAATCAGGAAGCTGGCACTGTGGCATAGCAGGTAAAGCCGCCCCCTGAATTGCTGGCATCCCATATGGGCACAGGTTCAAGTCCTGGCTGCTCCACTTCGGATCCAGCTCTCTGCTATGGCCTGGGAAACCAGTAGAAGATGGCCCAAGTCCTTGGGCCCCTGCACTTGTGTAGGACACCAGAAAGAAGCTCCTGACTCCTGGCTTTGGATCGGCACAGCTCCAGTCGTTGCTGGAGTGAACCAGTAGATGGAAGACCTCTCTCTCTCTTTCTTTTTCTCCCTCTCTCTGCCTTTCAAATAAATAAATCTTTAAAAAAAAAAAAAACCACACAACTGGGGACATCCCAATGTCCACCTACTAGCAAATGAATAAACGTATCATGGACTATTACGCAGCATGAGGTACATCTATAAATACAAATAAAGAAAGATACCCAAGATACTGATGATATTTTATTAAATGAAAATGACCACATACCAAAGAGTATATCTGACTTGATCTCTGGCTAAAAACATGCAAAATTATATTAAAGGAACCAGTGCTCTAGAACAGTCGATTAAGCCACTGCTTACAACGTCTGCATCCCATATCAGAATGCCAGTTCAAGTCCTGGCTGCTCTGCTTCTAATCCAGCTTCCTGCTCAGTGGAAGCTGGCCCAGGTACTTGGACCCCTGCCGCCCATGTGGGAGACCAGGATAGAGTTCCTGGCTCCTGGCTTTTGCCTGGCTATTGCAGCCACTTGGGGAGTGAATCAGTGGACAGAAGATTTCTCTGTATCTCTCGCTATCTCAATGTTGCTATGCCTTTCAAATATATAGATCTTTTAAGTACAGATACTCAAGCTCACAAGTCATCAGAGAAAAGCAAATTTATAAAATGATAGGATTTTATAACCTGTCAGAATGTCAAAAATTAAAGAGACTGGGGAATTGTGTGGATTGGGAACTTGCAGGCGAGGTGGGTAAATTTGAAGACATTCACCTGTGAATACATATGTCCTACAGAAACTTTGGCACACACGCCTGGAGGGACACACAGGATGTGCACTGAGCACCCTGCCGAGTAACGAAAACTGGAAACAACCCAAATGCTATCAATAGAAAAATGGATAAACTGTACATATAACGGAACTTACACAGTAATTAAAAATGGGGTCACACGTTTGGCCTAACAGCTAAGTTGTTCATGTTTGATATCAGAGTTCTTGGGTTCAATACCCAGCTCCAGCTCCTGACTCCAGCTTCCTGCTAATGCAGACCCTGGGAGGCAGCAGTGATGGCTCAAGTAATTGGGTTCCTGGCAACCATAAGGGAGACCTGGATTGAGTTCTCGGTTCTCAAATTGCAGGGGGGATTTGTAGGACTGCATCGGCGGATGGAAGCGCTATCTCCCCTCTCTCTCTTTTCTTTCCCTCTCTCCTCTCAAATAAATAACATTTTTAAAAATGAATGAACTAAGGCCATGCGTCTAAATTTAAAAATATAATAGTAAAATGTAAAAAAACCCTCTACCTGAACAAAGCAGGGTTTCCCTACACATATATTAGTGATTGTACAATTAGTGAATATATACACACACACTCATACTCACTGCTTACAGATTACCCACTAAAGAAATGAACAAAAGATTCGTAAGGAGAGGCACATCCACATGAGTGCTATGACTTGGGAAAGCAGTAGAAAATGGCCCAAGTCCTTGGTCGACTGCACCCATGTGGGAGACCCAGAAGAAGCTCCTGGCTCCTGGCTTCAGATAGGCACAGCTCTGGCCATTGTGGCCAATTGGGGAGAGAACCAGCGGATGGAAAGGAAGACCTCTCTGTCTCTATGCCTCTCCTTCTGTGTAACTCTGACTTTCAAATAAATAAAGGGAACTTTTTCTGTAATATAAGTTTAAAAAATATACCTGCAACAAATATGGCAATAAGAGTCCTACCATACTTTCCACTATACTTTTTTTGTAGGTTAAAATTTTTTCATGATTAAAGAATACTGAGCCGGCGCCGTGGCTCAATAGGCTAATCCTCCACCTTGCGGCGCCGGCACACCGGGTTCTAGTCCCGGTTGAGGCGCCGGATTCTGTCCCGGTTGCCCCTCTTCCAGGCCAGCTCTCTGCTGTGGCCAGGGAGTGCAGTGGAGGATGGCCCAGGTGCTTGGGCCCTGCACCCCATGGGAGACCAGGAAAAGCACCTGGATCCTGGTTCCTGGCATCGGATCAGCGCGGTGCGCCGGCTGCAGCGGCAGCCATTGGAGGGTGAACCAACGGCAAAAGGAAGACCTTTCTCTCTCTGTCTCTCTCTCTCACTGTCCACTCTGCCTGTCAAAAATTAAAAAAAAAAAAAAAAAAAAGAGAAGAATACTGAAACAACAATATCCCTTCAGAGCATGGTGACCATATTCATCTCTGTTAGCCTCATTTTCCTTATCTGCAAAATGGAAACAGCAGCACCTTGCCTGCAGGGCTGATTAAAGAGTTAAGTGAAACCACAGACTGACCTTTGACGTGATATCATCATCAGCATTTGTCATTGGTATTACCACACTGAAGTGGCTTTGCCCACTGTGTGATTACACTGTAATTTAAAAGGCACGAGCTGGCAGAACAGCCTTCGCTAAGCGCCGCCTCATCTCACTGCTCTCCCTGAGCCTGTTTTCTCTCCTCCTGGCTCATTCTCCCCAGTCCAGGCGAAGGCGTCTGTCTTTCTCAAACCCACCTGCGTGCTCTTGCACCCAGCACCTTGGTGACCACACTGATCAGTTTCACCGCATTATGTGGCCCCTGAAGACACACAGGAGTTTGATTTGATTCAAGATTCCCAGAGAAAGAAAGGAGCAGAAGGAAGGAAGAAAAAGACTAAGGACCGGGCGCCACTTCTGGTTCTCACTTATGGCCTTCGCGGGGGCCGCACACTGGGGCAAGTCAGCTGAGCTCTGTGAGGTGAGTGGTTATACTCAGTGATCCATAAATTCATCTTCCAGTACCATGGCACGTCTTCCAGGTCCCTGTAATCAGACTCCAAACTCGGTCTGTGCTAGTTGCTGTTAAAACATGTATTATTTTAGCCTCACAATAACACCATGAGGTACCATTAATATTATTATTATTATTATTATTAGCATCCCATTTTTACTGGTGTGGAAACTGAGGCACAGAGACATTAATTAGGTTTGGACAAGGTAAATGGTAGAACTAGTATTTAACCCAAGCAGTCTGCTTCCCACTGCATTGAAAGCCCCCTTCTAATCAACAGCTTTTAACTTCTGTACTGCATTGCATCATTTACTGCTTCATTAAGACAGGGATATCACCCAGCCATCCCACTCCTGGGAATTTACCCAAACCAAAAGAAATCAGTATGTGAAACAGTTATCTGTACCCCTATGTTCATTGCAGCATAATTCACAATAGCTAAGATATGGAATCAACCCAGATGTCCATCAACTAATGACTGGATAAAGAAATTATGGTATATATACACTATGGAGTACTACTCAACTGTGAAAAAAAATGAAATCCTGTCTTTTGCAACAAGATGATCACAACGGTAAACTGTTATACTTAGTGAAATAAGCCAGTCCCAAAAGGACACATATCACATATTTTCTCTGATCCGATGCAACTATTAGAATACCTGAAATGTAATGTATTGGAGCGAAATAGACATTTTGAGAGTGGATGATTGTTTACTGCCCTTATCTCTTCCACTGAAGATTAATCTTTTGCTTAGCTTTGTTTTGTTTTATTTTGTTTTGTTTTCTTTTCTTTTTCTTCACACTATTTACTGAACCCCTTTACTCAGAGTAGGGTGAGCTATATGTCACTAAGTATACTGACAATAGATCATTGCAAAAATGAAGACTGGGAATCCGAGAGGGAGGAAGGAAGGGCTGGAATGTGGGTGGGAGGGAGGGGAAGTCCCACTATGCTCGTAAATCTGTATATATGAAATATATGAAACTTAAATTAAATACAATTTAAAAATAAATTAATTTAAATTTGAGCATAAAAATTCAGTGATATTACCACATTATTTTAGATTTCCTGACATTTCGTGGCCACTCAAAGTTACCATACACACTGATTATTAGATTAAACTTTTTAAAAAAAGATTGAGTTATTTATTTGAAAAGCAGAGAAAGAGAGGGAGAAACAGAGAGGTCTTCCACCTGGTTTACTTCCCAAGTGGCGACAATGGCTGGGTCTGGGCCAGGTCAAAGGCAAGAGCCCAGAACTCCATCTGGGTCTCCCAAGTGGGTGGCAGGGCCCTAAGCACTTGGGGCATCTTCTGCTGGCTTCCCAGGTGCATTAGGGAGCTGGATCGGAAGTGGAACAGCTGGGACTCGAACCAGCACTCGTACAGGATGCAGTGTTGCAGGTGGTAGCTTACCCAGTATGCCACAACACCAGCCTCTTTGATCATACAAGGCCTGGGAGGTAGACTTCTACTAGTTCTGACACAAGGGGCCAGACAGGCGTCTCTCATTATTTGTATGTTACTGACATCCTCAGCTAGGCCGTGAGACATTTGACAGAGGGAGCATCCTGAGACGGGTGACTTACTCCAAATCATCACCAAACAGCAGTGCCTGGACCAAATCAAGGCCACCAGACTGCAAACACACATGTACCCTGAACCTTCTCCAAGATGAGGTCATAGCGGGGGTGGGGGGCAAACCTTGAAATACGGACAAGGATATAAGGAGTATAGGAAACGCAAAGGCCCTTGATGATAACCATTGCATTTAAAAAAAACGTAAAGAAAGCGACAAAAAAAAAAAGGCAACAAGCTGTCCTTTGCCACTGGAGACCTGCCTACCACAGGCTGCCGCCTCTCTCTCAGTTGCAATGGTCCCAGTACGGATGTAACATCACCACCCTGCACGAGCCGATTCATTACCTGTCCTTCACAACACTGTCCCAGGCACGGACGTCCTCCTCCCTGGCCGCCTCGGCTGCTCTTCTGCTGGCTTCCTCCTGGGTCTCACTCAGGCTGTCCGGTCCAGGGCTTCCCTCTAAACTGTCAGGCTCCATGTCATTGTCCCGGAGTTGGTACTCCCGCTCAGAAAGGGAGTGCATCTCTTGAGCGAGGCTTTCTGAGTCAGATTCCAAGGAGTCTTTGGAAAGGTGCAGGTCGTCTTGCTTCACAGGTGGGTCTGAGGACGAGAAGTTCAGCTTCGGATGAGGGACAGGAGACTGCAGAGAGGGCTTGGGAATTAGCTTTCTCTGACTCATCATGCAAGGTGAAAGAATTAACAGAGGATACTCTTGTTGAGAGGAGCAGCTGGTTGACTTAAAGTTGTGGTTCACAAAAGCATTACCTAAAAACAAAATGTATTTTTGTTAGTCTGGGGTCACTGGAGTCTCCTTAATGGCAATGTTAATCCAAAAGGTCAGTGAGTCAAGAGAATCTGTTATCTGTAGGCTTTTTTTCCTGCACCCTTTTGTGTTTATGAGGGAGGTACACTGGAAAAACTATTGCTTGTCTATGTACAGCAATACAGTTGGTGTAGAGCTCATCAGTAGCCTAAAATGGCTGCTTCTAGCTTCCCAGGGCTTGTTACCAACTAGCTTGGACCAAGCCACATGTTTTAAGCACAAAAGTACCTTGAAAGCTTTATTTCAAATGCCCAGGGCAATAAAAATATGCTCTGTTCAGTAATATCCATGGGTACAGGAAAACAGGTGCAAGATCTACCTTTTGGAAAGCAAAGACAAGAGAAAGAAGAGTGGTTTCCCAAAGTGCAGCTGTGAACCAGTGAGTTGTTTTGTTCCTAGACCTGTTTCAGCTGACCACATCTTTTGCAAAAGACTTTTTGAAACACCCAGGTTGCTAGACACATGTGATTTAGGTGGACGTGACGTGGAGATCAACCTCAGCTCGGTATTTAAAACAACAACAACAACAGAATAACGATTCAAGCTGTTCAACAAAAGATGTGGGGGCCTTGAGAATTGTGCTACTGAGCAATTCACAGACAGCAGAGGCTGGATGTCCACAAACCTGATGCTGTCCTGGGGAAAGCGGGGAGGGTGGGAGATCGCTCGAGCAACAGCTGAGAGTTAGCTGGAGTCTCTGCCACCTTGTTGAGTGTGATTCCCAGCGCCCCTCACTGTTTCAAAGGGCTGTTATAATGACCCCTGAAGCACTCTACGGAAAGGGGGCCTGGAGTGCATACAGGATTGAAAGCACATGATGTTTTTGGATTGTGCCTCCTTTCATCTCTACCTAGTGTTTCTATTTTGGTTTATCTTCTATCTCACTGCCTTTATGTCCCCCCCCCCCCCCGTAACAGAAACCGTTACTACTGGAGATTACTGTAAGATTTGTGCTCTTTCTTGTTCTCTTGGCAAATCCTAACTTTTAACTAAATAACAGGGCCTTATTCCTCCTCTCAGGATTGCGCCCGATGTTGACCTTGTTGCTAATTTGCTTAGGTTCCCAAGGAAGCTCAACTCCCTGGGGGTGGGTGGGTGGGGGAAGCACCCTGACAAACCTAGCAGACAAAAGGTAACCTTCATATTTAAATACACACAACGAGATCTTTCTAGTCAACTCCGTTCTCTCTGTTGGTAGATGGACATCAGTAAAACCTAATTTTACAGACTGGTTTCCTGTATTAAATCTCTGATTTTAAAAACACATATTGTATTCTGCCATATTATTTACTGCCGAGAAGCAGACTGCCTGTTTATTTTTAGGACATTGCCATAAAGCAACAGATCTACCAAACACTAATACATTTAAACTAACACAGTTTGTATAAACACCAGTTTTACTGTCAGAGTTACCGTCATTATTTAAGACCTTGAGGAGCAAGCGTACAATAACCATCACAGTCCATTTTAGAATTGCTCTTTCATAAAATAATTCATCCCCTTCAGCTCTTCTTTCCTTCAATGAGGTAAGGCTAGAGTTTCCCGGAATTCATAGGCAAGGCAATGTAGGAGGTAATAATTTTGTTAACAGATGAACGGAATTTGAGAAGAGCAAAGTGAAATCTCACACAGGCTGGGTTTCCTGGGGAGCTCTGGTTTTTTGAGGGCATGGGATGAAAGAAGAAATACTGACAAGCCTAGAGAAGTTAGCCAGCGGGCTGAGGGGTGCGGGTCCCGGCACCGCGCAGCGGGAAACGGTCGTGGCGCGGGAGTTTCCAGGCCGACCGCCCAAGGATGTCCAGGGAGGAGGCAGGGCCTGGCCTGAGGAACCTGGGTCTGGGCCACCAGCCCTGGGATTGCGACCTCCCTCCCCGGGAACCAGGAGGCCTGACCGCGCTGCAGAGGTGAGAGGTGCTGAGGGGGGCCGCCGCTCGGACACTGGTCAGGGACCAGGCCCGCCGCCAGGGGCGTTTGCAGGTGCAGGAAGTGACGGCCGCGCGAGCCTCGTGGCCTGGGCCGGCCTCGCCTGACCCGGCTCTGGGAGCCCCTCGGGGTGTGGCCCGCGACCCCGACCTCGCAGCGTCCCAAGGCTGGCTCCTCAGAGTCCTCCCGTCCCGACCCAGTTTGCTCGGGCGGATTCCCGGTCCCCCCGCTCTCCCTCCCCGGCCGCGCCGCCCACCCCGGCGCCGGGAGGCCACCGCCCGTCACCTGCGCGGCGCTTCCCGGCGGCCCCGCATCCTCCTCGGGCTCCCGCCGGCGCTCTCCGCGGCCCGCCCGCCCCGGCGCTGCCTGGAGACGGCGGCCAACACAGCCGGCCGCGCCCCTCGGGCCCGCGGCGCCCAGGCGGGGAGGGCGGGCCGCCGCGCGCCCAACTGCACCTGCTGTCGCTGGCGCGGAGGCCGGGCCCCGCCGAGGGGCCGCCGCGCGCACACCCTGACCCCGACGCGGGAAGCCGAAGGGCAGGAGAGGCGGGCTGCCGTACATAAAGCAGCTAGGATACCAAGAACTCCTGTTTAAAAAAAAAAAAAAAAATCCAACCATGAGCGGGTGAATGACTGGGACACGTATTTCACCAAAAAAGAAAAAAAAAATCAAGTGGCCCGTAAATATTTGTGGTTTATTGAAAAGGTGCTTAATTCGTTAACACTCAGAAGAGGGCAAGTTAAAGCCACAGTGAACACCCTGCTCACCAGCCAGGCGCCAGAAGTGTGCTGGTGCCTGGTTAGAGGGCCAGGTGGGGAGCGAACCCCTAGGGTGCGAACCTGCAAGGGGATGTGAACTGGTGCCACCAGTCTGGAGAATGATTTGTCTTTGTATACGTGTACTTTAGGATCCGGTAATCTCTCTTGGGCATTTCCCCGGAAGAACTGTGTGCTCCTGTGCATCAAAACTGTAAATAATCAAAATCCCATCAACAATAGGTGGTTCACTACACTGCGACATTCCATATGGCAACATGCTAGACGGCAGTGGGGATGAACGGAACAGTTACATACAGCAAGGTGGGGCATCTGACAAAAGTGGGGCATCTGTCAGGCACAGTATAGAGCCACCGCAACAAAAATCCAGGAGAAAGCAGCTACGGTTTGATTTTGTAGATGAAAACTGCAGACAAGCTAACCTAAACTGTGCTTATGCATTTGTACTTCATGGAGAAAGCTAAGTAGTGATGCCCATGAGGCTGAGATTGTGGTCAGCTGTGGCTGCAGAGCGAGGGTTATGGAGAAGGGTGCTTTGGGGATACTATTTCCCGACCTCAGTAGTGGTTCTGTAGATGTTTATTTTTATAACACTTTGTTAAGCCACACATTTAGGTACGTGTAGACTATTTCACTGTCAAAAATGTTTTAAGGAAGAGTGAAAGAAGGAAGTGTTGGGAATTATGTTCACGTTAAAATAGCATAAAATCCCATTAAAACCCCAAGTAGATTTGAGTAACTGACTTTAAAGAAGCAAGGATGCTTCGGTACCAGTTGGCTCATTAATGACAGGAAACACGGGGAATTGGAAAATGTCCTTAGACCCAGAAAAGCAAACAGCAGTATCAGGGACATAGTAACTACGGGAAGCAGCTTCCACTCCATAGCTGGTGGAACACGGAGATAAACCTGGAGTCACAAACGGAAGCTTAGAGGAGAGGCCCCCGGAGTGGGGATCCAGGCCTCCCAGGACCAGAACCCAGCTAGCGCGTGCTCGTGTCCCTGAAAAGGTCCCGATGAAACTGGTTCTGGGAATATGGGAGAAACTGGAATCAACTGCTGCTCCTGGAACAAACTGAGCTGCTGGCCTGAAGAAACACTCCAAGGTGACCCTGGGAGGAATCGGGGCCAAGAATGGCAAAAGAATCCCTTTTCCTTTCTCCCGTTTGTGGTTGCTTGCTGCTGCCCCCTGGTGGCAAGAGTTTAACAAGGGGCCGGATGGCAAAGGAGACAGATTGCTCCACCCATACAAAGTATCTAAAGCCCAGAGACAGCAGCTAACAGGCAGCACAGTAATGCTGGCCTCACAATTCGTGAGGATTACAGAGAGCATGCAAACAAAATAAAGCCATAAAGTGCATTGTTTTCATCGGCTGTTATAATAATAATATTGTTAATTTCCATATGAATAGCACTTCCCAGGGGTTGCAGAGTGCTTTTGCATATATTATCTGTTCAGAATTCAGCTGTCAACCTGACCCTGAACTAACCAAAACACAGAGAAGAATGAGAAAAACAAGTCAGATGATTAAAATACATAGACTAGTGATCTGAGCCGAAGTTTACTCCTTTTCCTCCACATTCCATTCATGCACGCGCCCTGTTTCCCTCTCCCCGCTGTTCCTCAAGCTCTGTCCAACGAGTCCTTCCCTCTGCCCCCTTTCACCTCCTGTTCTGACACCTGTTCAGACTCCTCGCTCAGCGTCATTTCTCCAGACGGAATTTAAAGATACCCCACCACCACCACCACCAAACATTGTCTCTGTGGTTCTGGGGCTAGGATAATTCTCAACCTGGACAGTTTCTGTTCTTAAGGGGACATTTGACAGCATCTCAAGACATTTTACATGGTCACAACCTGGGGAGTGCTCCTGGCAACTGGTGATCAGAGGCCATGGCTACTGGTAGTCATCCTACAGTGCCTAGCGCAGCCTCCATGGCAACAGAAAATGGTCCACAATGCTGAGGTTGACAAACCCTATGTTAGGCTGATAGTACTTCTGTGGTCCCGACACAGTCAAGAGTACATATTGTACAACGCTGCATTGAAATTACCTGCATGGGGAGCCAGTGTTGTGGTGCAGCGTGTTAAGCTGTGGCTTGTGACTTATTTATCCCATACCAGTCAGAGGGCTGGTTTGCATCTCAGCTGCTCTGCTTCTGATCCAGCTCCCTGCTAATGCACCTGAGAAGGCAGCAGAAGATGACTCAAGTACCTGGGCCCCTGCCACCCACATGGGAGACCAGGGTGGGGTTCCTGGCTCTTTCTTGCACCTGGCATGGGTCTGGCTGTTGTGGCTATTTGGTAGTGACCTATTAGATGGAAGATCTTGCTCTCTCCCTCTCTCTGTCTGTCCCTCCTTGTGTGTCATGCAGCCTTTCAAATGAATACATGAAACTGAAAGAAACAAATTACTTGCATTTTTTGGTCATCTCCTTACTATACTCTTAAACTTGCAGAAAATAGCATTGTGCATGGCATCTAATAGATGCTCAATAGATGTTGAAAAAAAGTCACAATATCTACATTTTAGCATCTGAATGGAGAACACGTAAGTATAGTCCTTTAGGCTCTTTAACAGAACCGGTAAGAGTGGCTGGCCCATCATGTTCTTTGTTAGGGATACTCTCTTACTTGTCGCTCCCCCTCTTCGTGGAGGAACGACACAGGACCCTGCGCTGTTCTTTTGTCTGCTCGGCCCTCCCCGGGTTTGCTGCTGGTTCTTCCTCAGGCGTTGGCTACTGTCCCTTCCACCTCCGTGGAAGGGCGGTTCCCCCTGCCACATTCCCCACTTCCGCGGGGGAGCGGCACACCGCCGGCTGGCTCTCTCGGGGGCTGCACAGGTGTTCCCTCAGGTGTTCCCCTTAGATGTTCCTGGTGCATGTTGTCTCTCTCCTCCTTTATAGTCCTCCTCCGCCAATCCCAACTCGGCTGCCCACACGCCGAGTACGCTGCTCTCCTCCAATCAGGAGCAGGTCCTACAGTTTATTGGTTGAACTGGAGGCAGCTGCGTAGAAGCTGTTTTCTCCTCTCCCAGCGCCATATTGTGGGAAAGCAGATGCATAGAATAAGTCTTAATTCCAGTAACTTAGTCTAGTCCGAGTTGCTCCCAGTTGCTCCCCACATTACTTAGTATATGACTAGCATGATAAGATAATTTATTACATAAATCCAGGCAGGAACTAAAAAAAATGATGCTATTCATACATTATGCCAGGATAACAGCTATAAACAGAACTTGTCCCAGGTATCCAGGAAGTGTGACCATTCCTTACATCACTGAAACAAGTTGCATTGTTCCTTTATACATACGTTGAATTAGAAGCAATGATTAGAATGGGTTGCTGGGGCACTCTGAGGGCAGAGGAAGGGCAATGCCAGTGAGTGTAGAGACAGAAATATCACAAGAAGAAGAGTTATGCAAGCAGACGATGCAACCTGAGATCATTTGGTGCAGGGAATAAGCACCTTACACTTATTATTCCACGTGACAATCACACATTAGAGCAAGCACAAATTCTGATTTTCATAATGATTAATTTTTTAAAACTTAGGGTAAATCAATTTGCTGAATACTGACTAAAAGGGTAAAAGTATGTAGCATTTTTAAAAGATATTTATCCAAGGGGCCAACACTGTGGCGACCCGGGTAAAGATGCTGCCTGCATTGCCGGCATCCCATATTGGGTGCCAGTTTGCATTCCAGCTGCTCCACTTCTGACCCAGCTCTCTGCTGTGGCCTGGGAAAGCAGTAGATGATGGCCCAAGGCCTTGGACCCCTGCACCCATGTGGGAGATGTGGAAGAAGCTCCTGGCTCCTCGCTTCAGATCGACCCAGCTCTGACAGTTGCAGCCATTTGGGAAGTGAACCAGCGGATGGAAGACCTCCCTCTCTCTCTCTTCCTCTCTCCCCCTGCCTCTCTGTAACTTTGCTTTTTAAAGCCGGCGCCGTGGCTCAATAGGCTAATCCTCCACCTTGCGGCGCCGGCACAACCGGGTTCTAGTCCCGGTTGGGGCGCCGGATTCTGTCCCGGTTGCCCCTCTTCCAGGCCAGCTCTCTGCTATGGCCAGGGAGTGCAGTGGAGGATGGCCCAGGTGCTTGGGCCCTGCACCCCACGGGAGACCAGGAAAAAGCACCTGGCTCCTGGCTCCTGCCAGGATCAGCGCGGTGCGCCGGCTGCAGCGGCGGCCATTGGAGGGTGAACCAACGGCAAAGGAAGACCTTTCTCTCTCTGTCTCTCTCTCTCACTGTCCACTCTGCCTGTCAAAAAAAAAAAAAAAAAAAAAAAAAAAAAACTTTGCTTTTTAAGTAAATAAATATATCTTTTAAAAACACATTTATCCAAAATACTAAAATGCTTAAAATCTTTTTTTAAAGATTTATTTTATTTATTTGAAAGGCAAAGTTAGAGAGAGGCAAAGGCAGAGATAGAGAGAGGTCGTCCATCTGCTGGTTCACTCCCCAGATGGTCACAATGGCCGGAGCTGAGCCAATCCAAAGCCAGGAGCTTCCTCCAGGTCTCCCACGTGGGTGCAGGGACCCAAGGACTTGAGCCATCTTGTACTGCTTTCCCAGGCCATAGCAGAGAGCTGGATCAGAAGAGGAGCAGCTGGGACTAGAACCGGCGCCCATATGGGATGCCGGGGCTTCAGGCCAGGGCTTTAACTCCCTGCGC